TAGTTTTGTTTCGGTGTATTTATATCAAGACAAGATGAGCAGCTTGCATTACCATGTCATGCCAAAAGTAAGCTTTGTTTCTTTAGTGGCATACCAACTCCTTATGGGTCATTTAATTCCAAAATTTAATTTTCTGGGAGCATTAGTAATTTTTTTTTATAAATATTTATTGCTGGTAATGTTTTTGAGATGAAAATGTATTTTTACTATAAAAATGTTTATATTTTAATAGTTTTTAGACTCCAGTTTGGGGTTAACTATTTGCCCATATCTGGGACCCTTACAGGTGCTACCATCCCAGGTCAGGGTTAACCTGGGAACAACAGCAATTAAGAGGTGATTTCATGCTCCTCAAAACCTCCTAATCAGAGGTTTTGCTAGTTTATCGTAATACCCAGGACATAACAGACGTAAGCAGTATTGACATTTTATATTTATATTGCCTATTTTTTAAAATAAGGCTATTTTTGCAAAATTCTCTTTTTTTTTGTTTCATTCTTTCTCCTGACTAATTTTCTTTTTGCTTTCTTTCTTTTTACATCATTCATTTATTCTTCATTCACCCTTATTTTACATTCTTCCTTCATCCTTATTTTATAATTTTCATTCATCCTTATTTTATATTCTTCATTCATCCTTATTTTATATTCTTCCTTCATCCTTATTTTATAATTTTCATTCATCTTTATTTTACATTCTTCCTTCATCCTTATTTTATAATTTTCATTCACCCTTATTTTATATTCTTCATTCATCCTTATTTTATATTCTTCATTCATCCTTTTTTTATATTTTTCCTTCATCCTTATTTTACATTCTTCATTCACCCTTATTTTATATTCTTCCTTCATCCTTATTTTAAATTCTTCATTCATCCTTATTTTATATTCTTCATTCACCCTTATTTTATATTCTTTATTCACCCTTATTTTATATTCTTCATTCATCCTTATTTTTTCATTCTTCATTCAACCTTATTTTAAATTCTTCCTTCATCCTTATTTTACATTCTTCATTCATCCTTATTTTATATTCTTCCTTCATCCTTATTTTATAATTTTCATTCATCTTTATTTTACATTCTTCCTTCATCCTTATTTTATAATTTTTTCATTCTTCCCTTTCCTTATTTTATATTCTTCATTCATCCTTATTTTATATTCTTCATTCATCCTTTTTTATATTTTTTCCTTCATCCTTATTTTATTTCTTCCTTCATCCTTATTTTATATTCTTCCTTCATCCTTATTTTAAATTCTTCATTCATCCTTATTTTTTATATTCTTCATTCATTTATTTTATATTCTTCATTCTCTTTATTTTTACATTCTTCCTTCATCCTTATTTTTAATTTTTCTTATTTTTTATATTCTTCATTCATCCTTATTTTTTTTTTACATTCTTCATTCATTCCTTATTTTAAATTCTTCCATTCATCCTTATTTTACATTCTTCCTTCATTCTTTATTTTAAATTCTTCATTCATCCTTATTTTATATTCTTCCTTCATCCTTATTTTATTCATTCATTCATTATTATTTTATATTCTTCCTTCATCCTTATTTTATTCAATTTTATATTCTTCATTCATCCTTATTTTATATTCTTCATTCATTCATTATTTATTTTCTTCCATCCTTATTTTATATTTTTTCATTCATTATATTCTTATTTTTTTTAAATTCTTCATTCATCCTTATTTTATATTCTTCATTCATTCTTATTTTATATTCTTCCTTCATCCTTATTTTATATTCTTCATTCACTTCTTTTACATTCCTCATTTTTATATTCTTCCTTTCATATTTTTTTAAAATTGTTTTTAATCCTTTTCCTTTTTTAATTCTTCATTTGTCCTATTTTACCTTATTTTTATATTCTTCATTCATCCTTATTTTATATTTTCTTTTTATATTCTTCCTTCATCCTTATTTTTATTCATTCTTTCATTCATCCTTATTTTAATTTTATATTCTTCCTTTCCTTATTTTAAATTCTTCCTTTTTATTTTATATTTTCTTCATTCATTCCCTTTTTTTTTATATTTTTTATTCATTAACTTTTTTATTTTATATTCTTCATTCATCCTATTTTTTCATTCTTCATTTTATTCATCCTTATTTTAAATTCTTCCTTCATCCTTATTTTATTTTATTCTTCATTCATTTCCCTTATTTTCTATTCTTCATTCATCCTTATTTTTACATTCTTCATTTATTTTATTTTAAATTCTTTTTTCATCCTTATTTTACATTCTTCATTCATCCTTATTTTTTATATTCTTCCTTCATCCTTATTTTATTTAATTTTCATTCATCTTTTTCATTTTTTCATTCATTTTGTTCATCCTTATTTTTCTAATTTTATCATTTTACATTCCCTTATTTTATATATTTCTTCATTCATCCTTATTTTACATTCTTCATTTTTATCCTTTTTTTATATTTTTTCCTTCATCCTTTTTTATTCTTCCTTCCTTATTTTTAATTTAAAATTTTTTTTTATTCTTCCTTTCATCGTTATTTTTTGTTTTCATTCATCCTTATTTTTATATTTTTCTATTCATCAACGATTTTTATTTTATATTCTTTATTCAAAAAGGTTATTTTTATATTCTTCATTCATTTATTCTTCATTTTTTTATTCTTCCTTCATCCTTATTTTATTTTAAATTCTTCATTATCCTTATTTTATTTTTTCATTTTATATTCTCCCATCCTTTTTTATCATTCATTCTTCATTCATCCTTATTTTTTTACATTCTTCATTTTTATTCTTTTTATTTTCATTTGCCCTTATTCTTCCTTCATCCTTATTTTATTTTATATTCGCCCTTTTTTTTATATTCTTCCTTCATTCTTCCTTTCCTTTTAATTTAAATTTATTTTAATTTTTTTTTTCGTTTCATCCTTATTTTTCATTTTCCTTCATTTTATTTTATAATTTTACATTCATTTTTATTTTTCTGATTCTTCATCATTCATCCTTATTTTATATTTTTTTATTCATCCTTTTTATATTTCATTCATTTTTATATATTTTTTTTTACATTCTTCCTTAATTTAAATTGTATTTTTCATTCAGTTTTTTACATTCTTTTCATCCTTATTTTATCTTCCTTTCATTCATCCTTATTCTTTAACATTTTATTCTTCCTTCATCCTTATTTTTAATTCTTCATTTTTTGTTGGCCTTATTTTAAAAATCTTTATTTTACCTTTTCATATTTTATATTCTTTTATTCATCCTTATTTTATATTCTTCCTTCATCCTTATTTTAAAATTCATCTTATTTTAATTCATTCATCCTTATTTTAAATTTTCATTCATCTTTATTTTATATTCTTCCTTCATCCTTAACATTTTACATTCTTCATTTTATTGGCCTTATTTTATATTTCTTCCTTCATCCTTATTTTATATTCTTCATTCATCCTTATTTTATATTTAAATCCTTATTTTAATTCTTCATTTTTTTATTTTATTTCTTTATTTTTGTATTCCCGCGATTCTTTTTTACATTTTCATTCATCCTTATTTTTTCTTCATTCTTCATTTGTTTCATCTTTTATTTTTATTCCTTCATCCTTATTTTATAATTTTCATTCATCCTTATTTTATATTCTTCCTTCATCCTTATTTTTAAAATTTTCATTCATCTTTATTTTACATTCTTCCTTCATCCTTATTTTTTATAATTTTCATTCTTCTGATTTTATATTCTTCATTCATCCTTATTTTATATTCTTCATTTTATTCCTTTTTTTATATTTTTCCTTCATCCTTATTTTTAAAATTCTTCATTTCATTTTTATTTTATTTTTCTTCCTTCATCCTTGTATTTTAATTCTTCATTATCATTTTTTATTTTATATTCTTCTTCATTCACCCCTTTATTTTATATTCTTTATTTTATCCTTCCTTTAATTTTTTATTCTTCATTTATCCTTATTTTTTCCTTTCTTCATTTTTTCTTCCTTATTTTTTAATTCTTCCTTTTTTGTCTATCATCCTTATTTTATTCTCTTAACATTTTTTGCCCTATTCATCCTTATTTTTTTATAATTTTCATTCATCTTTTTCTTCATTCATCCTTATTTTATATATTCTTCCTTCATCCTTATTTTATATTCTTCATTTCCTTATTATTTTAAATTCTTCCTTCATCTTATTTTCGTTTTCATTCATCCTTTGTTTATCATTCTTCCTTTCTCGTTAACATTTTTTATAATTTTTATTCATCTTATTTTATATTTTTCAAAAAAGGTTACCTTTTATCCTTTTTTTTCATTTTTATTCCTCCTTATTTTATATTCTTCCTTTCCTTATTAATTTAAAATTGTATTTTAATCTTCATTTCTCGTTTCCTTATTTGTCTATCACTTTTTTCTCGTTAACATTTTATTAGTCGCCAACGATTCTTCTGATGATTTTGGCAAAAAAAGGTTACCTTTTTATTTTTTACATCCTTATTTTTATTCCTCCTTTTATAATTTTCTTTTATATTCTTCCTTTATAATTTTAATTTAAAATTGTATTTTTTAATTTCATTTTCGTTTCATCCTTATTTTATCTTCCTTCATTTTTATCCTTCTCATTAACATTTTTATTCTTCATCGATTCTTCTATGATTCTTCATTTTTTTACCTTTTATATTCTTTACTATTTATTCCTCCCTTATTTTTATTCTTCCTTCATCCTTATTTTTTAAAATTTTATTTTTTTTTTAATCTCCTTTTTTTATATTTTTTCTCCCCGTTTTATGTCTATCCTTATTTTATTCTCGTTAACATTTTATTCATCGCCAATTTTTCTGATTCTTCATTCATCCTTATTTTTATATTCTTCATTCATTCTCCTTATTTTAAATTCTTCCTTCATCCTTATTTTAATTTAAAATTGTTTTTAATCTCAGTTTCTCGTTTCCTCCCCGTTTGTCTATCCTTATTTTATATTCTCGTTAACATTTTATTCTTCATCATCCATTTTATATTCTTCTGATGATTGTTGGCAAAAAAATTTTACCTTTTTATTCGCCTTCATTCATTTTTTATTCTTCATTCATATTTTTCCTTTCTTCATTAATTTTAAAATTGTTTTTTTTTACATTCTTCCTTCATCCTTATTTTAATTTGTCTATCATTTTCATTCTCGTTAACATTTTATTCTAATTTGCCATTCTTCATTCATCCTATTTTTTTTCATTTTTCATTCAACCTTATTTTTTTTACATTCTTCCTTCATCCTTATTTTTTCTTCCTTTTTATCCTCTTCCTTTCCTTATTAATTTAAAATTGTATTTTAATTTTCATTTTTTATTTTATATTCTTCATTCATCTCGTTTACATTTTACTAATCGCCAACGATTCTTCTGATTTAGGTCTTCAAAAAAAGGTTACCCTTTTTTTCTTCCTTCATCCTATTCTTCCTTTATTCCTTATTTTATATTCTTCCTTTCATCTTATTTTATAATTTAAAATTGTTTTTTAATCTCATTTTCTTTATTTCCTCCCCTTTTTTATATTCTTCATTCATTCTCGTTAACATTTTTCTATTCGCCAACGATTCTTTTGATGATTCTTCCTTCATCCTTATTTTATATTCTTCATTTTATTTATTCCTCCTTATTTTATTTCTTCTTCCTTTCCTTATTTTTAATTCTTCATTCATTTTAAAAAATCCTTTTTTTATTTTACATTTTTTACATTCGTTCTCCTTATTTTGTCTATCATTCATCTCATCCTTCTTTTATACATTTTACTTCCTCGCCATCGATTCTTTTTGCCCTAATTTTGGCAAAAAATTACCTTTTTTTTATTCTTCCTTCATCCTTATTTATTCCTCCTCTTTTATATTCTTCCTTTTATATTATTAATTTAAAATTGTTTTTAATCTTCATTTTCCTCCTTTTTTTGTCTTTCCTTCATCCTTCTCGTTAACATTTTACTAGTCGCCAACGATTCTTCTTTTGAGGTTCTTCCTTCATCCTTATTTTACCTTTTTCATTCATCCTTATTTTTATTCCTCCTTTTTTTATTTCTTCCTTTCCTTATTAATTTAAATTGTTTTTAATTCAGTTTTTATTTTCCTCCTTCTTTTGTCTATCACTTATTTTTCTTCATTAACATTTTAAATTCTCGCCAACCTTCTGATGAGGTTTGGTATTTTACAAAAAAAGGTTACCCTTATTTTCGCCGGGACTATTTATTCATCCTTATTTTTTATATTCTTCCTTTCCTTTTTTTAAATTTTATTTTAATCCTTATTTTACATTTCCTCCCCGTTTGTTTATCCTCCGCGATTCTCGTTAACATTTTATATTCTTCAACGATTCTTCTGATGATTTTTTAAATTCTTCATTTTATATTCGCCTTACTTTTATTCCTCCTTTTTTATATTCTTCCTTTCCTATTTTTAAAATTCTTTTTAATTCAGTTTTCGTTTATAATTTTCATTTGTCATCCTTATTTTCGTTAACATTTTTCATTCAACCTTTTTTTCTGATTGTTCATTCAAAGGTTATTTTTATATTCTTTTATTCATCCTTATTTTTCCTTTCTTATTAATTTAAAATTGTATTTTAATTCAGTTTCTCGTTTCATCCCCTTTTTTCTATCACTTCCGCGATTCTCGTTAACATTTTACTTATCGCCAATTCTTCTTTGATTTGGCAAAATTATTTTTTTTTTTATATTCTTCATTCTTCCTCCTTATTTTTTATTCTTCCTTTCCTTATTAATTTAAATTGTTCCTTCATCTCAGTTTCTCGTTTCTTCCCCGTTTGTCCTTATTTTATATTCTTCTCGTTAATCCTTATTTTAACGATTCTTCTTCATCCTTATTTTACATTCTTCATTCATTCGCCGGGACTTTTTTTCCTCCTTTTTTATATTCTTCCTTTCCTTTTTAATTTAAAATTGTATTTTAATCTCATTTTATATTCTTCCCCATTCATCTTATTTTACATTCTTCCTTCTCGTTAACATTTTACTAATCGCCAACGATTCTTCTGATATTTTTGGCAAAAAAAAGGTTCATCCTTTTATTTTCGCCGGGACTCCTTCATCCTTATTTTTATATTCTTCCTTCATCCTTATTTTATTTAAAATTCATTTTATTTTTTTTTCTTCCTTCATCCTTATTTTATATCACTTCATTCTTCATCGTTAACATTTTTATTTTAGTCTTCATTCATTCTTCTTTTGATTTGGCTTCAAAAAAGGTTCCTTTATTTTTTCCAATTTATTCCTTCATCCTTATTTTCTTCTTTCCTTCATTAATTTAAAATTTTTATCTTCTTCTCGTTTCATCCCTTATTTTATCATCCGCATTCTCGTTATTTTTTTTTCATTTTTTACATTCTTCCAACGATTCTTCTTTTATAATTTTTGGCAAAAAATTTTTATATTCTTCAACTCATTCCTCCTCTTTTATATTCTTCCTTCATCCTTATTTTAAAATTTTATTTTTCATCTTTATTTTACATTCTTCCTTCCCCTTTGTTATCATTTTCATTCTCGTTAACATTTTATATTCTTCAACGATTCTTCTGATTTTATATTCTTCAAAAAAAAGGTTACATCCTTATTTTTTTACATTCTTCATTTTGCCCTTTTTTAAATTCTTCCTTCATCCTTATTTTTTTATTCTTCATTCATCCTTTTTTATTTTAAATTCTTCCTTCATCCTTATTTTATAATTTTCATTCTTCTCGTTCATCCTTTTTTTAAATTCTTCATTCATTCTTATTTTATTGTTCCTTCATCCTTATTTTATATTCTTCATTTATTCCTTATTTTACATTCTTCCTTTCAATTTTTAAATTTTTATTTTATTTTTTATTTTTTTCTTCCCGTTCATCCTTATTTTAAATTCTCGTTCATTTTATTTTTATTTTATTCTTCATTCACCCTTTATTTTATATTCTTTATTCATCCTTATTTTATATTCTTCCTTTCATCCTTAATTTAAAATTCTTCATTCATCCTTATTTTCTCGTTTCCTCCCTGTTTGTCTATCTTCATCCTTATTTTCGTTCATTTTACTAATCGCCAACATCCTTATTTTGTTGGCAAAAAAAAATTCATCACCTTTTTTATATTCTTCATTCATCCTTATTTTATATTCTTCATTCACCTTTATTTTATTTTATTTATTTTATTCTTTATTTTTATTTTATATTCTTCATTCATCCTTATTTTTTCATTCATCTTTATTTTACATTCTTCCTTCATCCCGTTTTTAAATTTTCATTCACCCTTCTTCATCCTTATTTTACATTCTTCATTCATCCTTATTTTATATTCTTCCTTCATCCTTATTTTATATTCTTCCTTCATCCTTATTTTACATTCTTCATTCACCCTTATTTTAAATTCTTCATTCATCCTTATTTTATATTCTTCCTTCATCCTTATTTTATATTCTTCCTTCATCCTTATTTTACATTCTTCATTCATCCTTATTTTAAATTCTTCATTCAAATTTTATATTTTATTCCTTCATCCTTATTTTATATTTATTCCTTCATTCCTTATTTTACATTCTTCATTCATCCTTATTTTCAATTTTCTTCATTCATCCTTATTTTATATTCTTCCTTCATCCTTATTTTTTACATTCTTCATTTCCTTCTTATTTTAAATTGGCATTCATCCTTATTTTTTCATTTCTTTTTTTTTAACCTTATTTTATATTCTTCATTCTTCCTTCATCCTTATTTTACATTCTTCATTCATCCTTATTTTATATTCTTCCTTCATCCTTATTTTATAATTTTCATTCATTATTTTATTTTATTCATTCTTCTTCTTTCATCCTTATTTTTTATAATTTTCATTCCCCTTATTTTATATTCTTCAATTCTCCTTATTTTACATTCTTCCTTCATCCTTATTTTATAATTTTCATTCATCTTTATTTTACATTCTTCCTTCATCCTTATTTTATAATTTTCATTCATTCATCCTTATTTTATTTTCTTCAATCATCCTTATTTTATATTCTTCCTTCATCCCTTTGTTTATCATTCTTCGATTCTCGTTAACATTTTAAATTCTTCATTCATCCTTATTTTTCATTCTTCAAAAAACCTTATTTTAAATTTTTCATTCATCCTTATTTTACATTCTTCATTCATCCTTATTTTAAATTCTTCATTCATCCTTATTTTATATTCTTCCTTCATCCTTATTTTACATTCTTCATTCACCCTTATTTTAAATTCTTCATTCATCCTTATTTTTTCATTCTTCATTCAACCTTATTTTAAATTCTTCCTTCATCCTTATTTTACATTCTTCATTCATCCTTATTTTATATTCTTCCTTCATCCTTATTTTATAATTTTCATTCATCTTTATTTTACATTCTTCCTTCATCCTTATTTTATAATTTTCATTCACCCTTATTTTATATTCTTCAATCATCCTTATTTTATATTCTTCCTTCATCCTTATTTTACATTCTTCATTCACCCTTATTTTAAATTCTTCATTCATCCTTATTTTTTCATTCTTCATTCACCCTTATTTTATATTCTTCCTTCATCCTTATTTTTTCATTCTTCATTCATCCTTATTTTACATTCTTCATTCGCTCTTTATTCTTCCTTTGCCAGCGATTTATGTCAAGCCTACGATTGATAAGATTAGATTTCCTGTATCATTAATTTGGGATTCCTTTTCATTTAATATTTGTTAGTTTTATTTGCAATATTTATTTTGTTTTACTTTTGGTCAGCAACAAAGCTCAGTTTTCTTAAATATTATGTAATATCAGTTCTCCTAAATGACAATGAATGTTGGAGACTATCTAGATAGTTGTTATAACAGGCAAGAAAATATGACAAGACTCTGAAGGTGCATAAGAATAGTAAATGATGCCTTCCAGAGGCTAAACAAAATTTTAAGAGATAGGAAAATTTTGTTAGAATCAAAGAAAAGTGCTCAACTACTTTGTCAGTAATAGTTTTGTTTGACATGTGCATTTGTATCAAGACAAGACAATCACTTTGCCTTACCATGTCTTAACAGAAGTCAGCAGCCTCTAGTTATTCAAATAAAGCCATTTTCTTCTCTGAATGTGGCAACCACCTCAGCATTTAGATCAGTGCTCTAGAATAGTTAACAGTGGTGACATTTTTTTTTATAGTATATTGTATAATTACTTATTCAAATAAAGTTTATTTTATATCCTGAAAGTTCATAATCCTCTGGTATGACAGTGAATGCTGGACAATTTCCTCACAGATGAAGAGGAGACTTCAAGCAATGAAGATATGGTTCTACAGAAGGATGCTGAGAAAATATAGAGAGAAAAACCAAAAGGTCACTTACGTTTAAAATCAAAAAAAGACTGTTGAAATTTCTAGATTACATAATGAGAAAAGAGGGCTTAGTTAATTTGATACTCACAAAACACCCAAGGCAAAAGTGGCAGAGGGAAACAGCAAGTAATGGTTAACGAGTTTGAGTAAATGGATGATAAAACAGAGAGGGGAGAAACAGTAAGGGGTCAAATATTACTTAGTGTTACAACAGATAGGAGGTTGTGGAGAAAAATGATCAACCACACCAGGATGTAACATACCACGTAAAAGAGATTTGATTGAAAGAATAAAATTCCAACAAGATTTAAAATGAATTAAGTAGAAATTATGTGGTGAAAATAAAGTCTGGGAAGATATTTATTATTTTAGAGTAAAAAGAAATGTTAGATCAAGAATAAAATGCATTAATTCTTCAGAAATTAACTGGCAAAAATAACGGATTTGAGCATGATGCTCATTGCTTAGAGTATTTGAAACATACTTGGCTGTAAAGCTCTCTCTGGATTAGTGGTCTAAAGCACACAGGGATCAGGAGATAGTTTCCT